TATGTTTATTAGCTACAATCTCTAGCAAGAATCTTCCCAGGCTGAAACCCCAGATCCCAAAGTCAGCCAGCAACAACAGTGTGAATTCCTCAGGGAGGTGCCAGTCTCATCCTCTTGTTCCTCCCACGCTCTTCTGGGGAGCTAAGAAAATGTTTATCTTCCTGAGCCTGGGCTTCATAATTCCATTCCATCACAGTATCCTTGCCTTTTGGGGGTAAAATAATGTTGCATTTATATGTCTTCTGTGCTAAATTCATTCCTCTTACTGATAATACTTTAGAATATTTTATAGTTTCCATTGCATAATTCCATTTTGAAATGTTATATGGCAACAGTGGTGTTCCTGAATACGAACGTTGCATATTTATTCCTGATTTTATAAGAATCTAATTCAGCCAATTTTTTTTTTTTAGCTTGACCTAGTTCCTTTCTTGAAACAAGAAATAAAGTAATAAGCAAGAACTGTTACAGAATGGAGATGGGTGACTTTCCTCGTAGTCTCCTCTGTTCTCTAGAGTCTGAGCTGGTTTGACAGTCGTGACCAGTGGTGCTGGTAAGGTTGAGCAAGCCTAGCCTGTATGCCCTTCTGGCCGACATCACCATCTGTCCCGCTCACTGTTCTGTTTTAGAGATGTAAACATGACATCTGTGTTCTCTTCTCTCCTCAGCTGTTTCCCATCAGTTTCTGTCTCCCCTCAAGTGTGGAAACATAATCCTATTTTTTCTCCTTGTATTCATTCTTGTTTATTTTGTTTTCACTTGTCTGAATGCAAAACTGAGGCTGAAAAGTAAGATATGGGGTATGGGAGTACTGCATGGATTCACATGTTATCCCACGTTAAGCAATGAGACTTCAATTTGTTAGTATGTTTTTTTGTTCTCAAGTCAAACTTCTAAGCTCCAATTTGGAACATCATAAATGTATTTAAAAAATAAACATTTTCCTCATCATGACTCTTAAATTGTCAAGCATTTTTCTGGCTTGATGTATTTTAACTAGAACAGTTAGGGAGGTTACAATTCCTTAACTCTTGGATGAATTTATGGGGGAAGAATCCATGTCTTGCTCCGCTGGATTATTAACCAGTGTTTTCAAATAGATCGCTCTCCGTGGTCTGTGGGCTATCGCCCCTCGTGCGAGCGGTGGAAGACGGGGCTCCTCTGCCTGCACTGCCGCCCTACCTCCTCTGCTAGCTCCATCCCACTGCCTCTTCCCTGGCCAAGCCCAGTGAGCTTCCTTCGGCAGACGGGGGTCTGCTGCCCAGTGCCTGGATCTCGGGATCAGCAGGAGGAAGAAGACTGTGAAGGTCAGCTGGGGGTGGCAGCGAGGAATGGCAGGGGTAGGCAGTGGAGCGCAGGGCAGCCAAAAGGGCAGAGACAGGGGGAGATAGGCAAGTGGGGGGAGTTGAAGCACAGGTAGTTCACGCAGGGCAGGAGAACGTGTCTGGGGGATGCTGCAACAGTCATAAATGTGGGCCAGTCATCAAACGCCCAAATTTTGATCATGTGATCATGGGGTGCTGCAATGGCCAGAACATCTAGGACCAGTCGTAACTACCATTCATTCAACGCTGTCATAACTTTGAACAGTTGCTAAACAAATGGTAGTAACCTGAGGACTACCTGTAAAATGTAAACTGAATTCAGGGGAAATGAGGTTCTTAAGAAATATGGTTTAACAAGAAGGAATAGAGTCACAAATAAATGGACAATGTTTGAACATGGATAGAATTAAAAAATGAGTGATGAAGAAAGTATTTCAGATGGCTTGGTCATATACACAGAATGAATAAGAATTAAATCACAACACAAATAACATGAAGAAATAGTGAGTGGGATGGGAAGAACGGGAAGACTGAGAAAGTCATGGTTGCATGGAATTGATAACTCATTGAAAGAACCAAGAGTAGTATATGAAGAGGTGTAGGGATATGATGGGAAAGTATGCAGATACTTTCCTGTACCTACCTGGATGTTGCTGGACTGCATTTTCCACTTTCCTAGCATAGCTAGGTACAAATATAGTCAAATAACATCAGGGCTATCACAAAGGGGTAAGGTAAAAATAGTTTCAGATGATGAGTAGCTGTCCCCTACCCATCCAACAGGATGCCTCCTGTTACACAGATTACCTTCACTCTTGGTAGTCAGCTGGGAATACTTCCAAACCAAGCACTGTGTTGTAGCCACCTAGCACTTTTATTTTCCAAGGAAGCTTTTGTGGCCCAGAGGCAATTTCTGGAAATACAGACGATGAAGATTTGTACCTTGCTTCCTATTAAAATATCTTTTGACATCACAATTTAGACCTGATGAACCAGCAGATTCTGAAATCTTAAACGGAAGTTGTTTTGGAAAATTCCTAACCCAGTGTTTATTTTTACAAATAATTGAAGATATGATCAAGATAAATACTGTACTAGTAATTTGGAATAAAGAGTTAGAATATGCTGTTTAACAAGTCAATGGTCTCATGTTTTAAGAATGTTAAATAGGTTTCTTATGAATCTAAAATAAGACTAATTCATCAAAGGATTATTTTTCAAGTGTACTGGCTACTCAGTGCATTTTAAGAAGGGTTGAGTGTCAAGTTCTTTATGTTGCAAATATAATATATTTGAGGAAAGTTTGTCCTATATGATTTGGAGCTTTTCTATAGCTGTCCCTTTTTGGTTTAATATTCACATTATTATTAATTTGATTTTGGATAGAGAAATATGGTTTAAATATGTTATTGTTACATTGAATTACATACAAAAAACTTGTAATTAATTTTTATGAAGAAATTTGGACTTACCAAGCATGGAAAGTAGGTCAAAATTATTTGCTGGAAAGATACTGCTATTCCAGACTTAAAATCCTGGACTGAAGCTATGTGTTCAATTTCTGCCTTTGAATGAATATGTATGTACATATAATCTTCTACACTGTGGTAGCTCCTCCCTTTTTTATATCAATAAAAATAGAGCATGCCATTTTCAGCTTCTTAAATAAAACAATGTATTAAAAGTGTTAAATATCAAGTGGGAAAAAAATCCTGGTGGATAAAAGGGAGATTTTTATAGATGCATTTTATAGGTGCACCAAGTCCTTTTTTCATCTTGAGGTACAGCTCTTCATTTTAATCCTTAAAAGGATCTTTTCATACACTTCTCCAGCATTGTGCATTCACCATTGCAAATAACCCTGCCAGGCTGAACACAGAATTCCAGTGTACTAGTGGGAGGGCAAGGGTGAGTCAAATTTGAAACCTGGAAAAATTGTACCAAGTTATGTTACTACAGAAGACAAAAAAGATCTTCTCTGGCATTAAAAATAAAGTAATAACAAATTAAATATCTAACAATTAGATGCCTTTTAGGTCATCATAAATGAGCAGCATGAGACCTTGTTTTATCTAACAGCACGGCCGGTCCCGGCTGTTGATGACCTTAATTCACCTTATAGGAACCAGCGGACTTGCTGCTGTCCATAACAATAGAGTCTCATCATTTTTGTAGGATAACTGACCAGTTAAAGAAACTAAGGCTTCCCAATGAGAGTTTTTGTAAATTGGCTAGGTCTGTATTGTGAACAGTATTTATTTATTTAGAGAAGGTTTTGTGTATTTTAGGATGAAAATCTATTTTTAAGGGCTTTGGATTTTTTTTTTTTTTTTAGCATTCTTAACCAAGTTTCATAATTTGGTCTGATGTGAGAATTTGTTCCTAATGTTTGTATTTTGTTCTTTACAGATTTGTAAGTGAAGCAGTTTCTCTAAGATAAAGAAAGATCAGGATGACCAGCTCTGCCCGAGAACATCTCCATTTTGCGCGACGGCGTAATCCGCAATTGCGTTACACTTTGAGTCCAGAGAACCTTCAAAGCCTTGCATCTCAGGGCACTGTTGCTGAGAACATGAACTTGCAGCGTGCCAACAGTGACACTGATCTAGTGACCTCTGAGAGCCGCTCTAGTTTGACTGCAAGCATGTATGAATATACCCTAGGACAATCTCAGAACCTCATCATTTTCTGGGATATTAAAGAAGAAGTGGATCCCACAGACTGGATTGGACTATACCATATTGGTAAGTAATAGATTTGTCTCCTCCCCATGTAGCTAATATTTATTTTCCTAATAAATAGAAAGTTCAGGTAAAAGACAGGAAATATTACTATGTTTCCTTTACCAAGGCAAGATGCAAAACAAAACAAAAATCCAGTAATTAAAATCAATCCAATAAAATTAGTTCAGTACCCAAGAAACAAATATTAATGCTAAAGGAATCAAAGGAACAATACATATGAAAGACATCCTGGGACAGAACTGAATGTATATACATTCATAATAATTTAAAACAGGTGTTAACTTGGAACCGGCAGTTAAATAAGGGCAGGATAAAATAACCAGACCCTACAGTAACTCACTAATCAAATAAAAAGGTCTTTAACCACCTTCCAAAGGCCATCCTATTAGCCCAAAGATGAAAGGAAGAAGGGAGCTACATCCTTGAAGGCCTGGAACTTGGAGACCCAAACAAGTCTCTGCTCAGAGGAATATTAAGAATGAGTAGGATTGGAGGGAGAAATAAGGGCAGAATGATACTGGGAAATTTATGACCAAAGAGTTTTAAACATATGTACCAGTAGTTTGAACTGGACTCTGGCTTGAATAGGGAACTGGCACTGAGACATGAGAATAGTGTGGAAGATCCTGAACAACCCAAATGGCACTTAGTTTCTGGACTAAGATCTGAGGATGCAGAACAGAATTGGGAATGTCTGTCAGGAGACAATTAGAATATTCTAGATGTGAGACAACCAGGGAACACATGCGGCAGTCTCCCTTGTCAGAAACTCCCAGATCCTATGAATATTCATCAAGTGAAAATCAGCATCTTAGCTGTAAAAACAGTAAATGGGCACAAAGTCAGCTGATCTACAATGAGGGAATGTAAGATTTTCTTGAACTGTTCTCTTCAGTAATTTTCATTAACAATGAATGAGGTTTGTCTTGATCTCCTTTCTCTTTTCATACTATATAAAACAAGATGCCCTGTTTTAACTTTCTTGCATAATCTTTAATTTGATACCATTTGTGGAAGGAGCACTGAATTAATTTCAAAACCACAGGAATGCTTTTTTGATCATCTTTGTTCATACTAGTATACTACATATGAAAGTCTGGCAATGTGCTTATATCCTTGTTTTGTAACTTATTTCTATGTTATACATAGACTTTTGCTTCTGGTTGCATACTAAAATGTACATAATTGAAGGTATAATTCTGAATTCAAAGATGCAGATGAAGATCCACTAAAATCAGTGGAAATTCTGCTATTAACCTAGGAATAACTGGCATTAGCTAAACAAACACTAATTCTCTGCAAAAGGTCTGTTCATTAATTAATTTACTTATTTGTTGATACAGTAGGACAAAGAGATAGGGTGATAACTTCTCTATATAAGCTATTTTTACCCTAGTTAATTGTATAATTTTGCATCAATGTGACGTTTTTCCTTGAGATTGTCTATTTTCCTTCCTATTGCAAGCTTGCTTAAAACTGGGTGTACTATTCTTGGGTCTTAGGAAATAAATCCCACAGCAGAGTGATCCTTTGATATAACTAATGTGGTTTGCAGTCTTGGTTATTTCTACCTTAACATAATAGGTAACGCATGTGAGTTGAGATGTTTCTTGTTTGAAATGGACTTGATATAATATATAGTCATCATGGCCAACAATTATATTTAGGTGGTGAAAAAGTACAATAAGAAACCACATTGCACAACACATGGAAATTCTTTAAAGAATTTGACCTGCCATCAAATTAAGTCATTCCTGTCCTTTTCTTTTTGCAAGTGGCATAGATTACATGCACTTTAGATTTTATGCAGTTAGTCTTATGCATAAGAAGGATCTTTGGTCTGCTGCCAGAGTAATGCAGCACTTCAGTTACAGTTTTCCCCTTCAAACACTGGAGAACTGTTTGACAGAGAAGCATTTCGATAAAGTATGACTTTGTAAAAGATGAGCATAAAGTCTGTTTTCCCCCCTTTTCTTGTCTTCCTGACTGGCTAGGCATTGATATCATTTCATGAAAGAGATTTATTTGAAGTGACTGGATTTGTTTTTAAAAAGTTGCTTCTCTCTGTAAGAAAGTGAAGAATTTAATTTCCTAGTTAACTGTATGAATATTAATATGTGTATCTTAAATGTGGCCAGTTAAGTACAATAAATTTGTTTCACTCTGACTTTTTAAAAAGTTTTTGTTACTGTATTACATTATTAATATAACTGGACTTATTTTTCACCAGTTCATCCAATCACTATGGGAATTATTGATTGATTGATTGATTATGTGCCATCTAGTTGGTGTCAACTTTTAGCAACTACATAGATAGATTTTCTCCCAGTACTAGAGCCTTCTCCAGAGAGTTAGGTCTTTGCATAATGTGTCCAAAATAGGATAATTTGAGCCTGGTCCCAATTTTTTTCATTAGGTATGCCAATTAAAATCCCAAGTAACTGATTGTTCATAGTAACGTAAGCTGGCTTATAGAATGGAAAGCTGTTCATATTAACAGTTTTACTGTATTTGTAATTAATATTAAATATTGAATTTGATTAGAAATGCAGAATATAAATGGACTAAAATAGTTGAAAAGGATAATCTAATAGTCTGTTTTTTGTTTATTTGTTTTTATGATAAACTTTGATGAATCCATCAGTATTTACTTTGCACAGACCAATTTAAAGTAGCCAAAAGGGGGAAAGTGTAATATGGGAAAAGCCTAGATAAATAGGAATGTTTGTGATCTGAGCAAACTGTTTCTATTATCTGGATTTACCTGCTCTGCATGTACAAACTTTCATAAATTTCACTTTATGCCATGCTTGTATCCCATAAGTTATTTAACTTACTTACATATTTCTATTCAGCTGTTTAAGGTGAGGATTCACAAAAAGTTTGTAATTATTGCTTTAAACAAGAACAATCTTTATAAAAGCAATCTAACTATATTGCAAAATATTTATGTAAAATTACAATATTACAAAAATAAAGCATCAATACTTACAATGAAAATAGCATACAACTTAAATAAACTAAAGCAATAAAAATAGAAAACTGTAAAAATCCAAAACAGAATTTTAATTAATATATTGGAACAGATAAATTTCAAAGCTTATTTAAAAGATACTAAACAATGAAAGATTTTCAAGAGTTTTCATTCTAGTAACTCTTAAAGTTTCATCAGGATCCATCTCCTGTCTTGCCAAGCTTGGACACATGGCAGTTGCCCCTGTTCTTTTTGAGGAAGGTGTGATACTGTCATCTGTGCTCAGAATACCTATATCCCCTTCTCTGCAATGAAATGTATCATATGATAGGAAGAACATTAATAAATCGCTGATGTCTTGGTTATTTAAATATTTTCTTTCAATGAAGAGTTACTAGAGATGGAGAAAGATCAAAAGATAATGATTTCACATGGTACTGTAGTTTAATGCTATGCACACGTTTCCCATGGAGGGAAATAAGAAGTGGTATCCCTTAAAGATTTGTTTTTGCTTTGGTGCCTTCTAAATTGTTTGTAAATTATTATGATTTCTTGTGATACATTCCCTTACCAACACTGGTGATATAACGTAGTGGTTAAGATCTTTAACACAGATAAGGTTTGGACATAAGTTTGTTCAGACCATTTTGAAGCTAGAAGTGAAAGCTTCTACCTCATGTGACTTATAAAATGGTAAAAACTCTAGGCTTATTTTTTAACAAAAATCTGGAAAATACTCAGGAAAAGAAATGTATGTATGTATGTACGCATGTATGTTTCTTTTGGATTTCAATCCAGCAACCTTCTCTATGTTAAGCGAAGATCTTAACCATGATGCTATTTCAGCAGTTCTGGTAAAGGAGTATGAAAACATGAGCGTACTTGCTGGAACATTAGAGGCAACATTGTTGTGCCTGGATGTACTGCATTTTGATAACCTCGTATATCTGCATTTAACACCTTTTTGCATATATAGATGTTTGTTTGTAATTTAACAACTTTTTGTGTATGTATAGATACATGTATTTTATATGCACTCCCATGCGTATAAAAGTATATATGTCCAGGAAGACCTGCCCACTGGAGGAAAAACAACTGCTGTCCTGGAACAGAAAGGTGGGAGGTATAATAGCTGAGCAATTCTTCAATGGAAGGACATAGTAACCTGTAGGCCAGACTGAATACCTTTAAACTCTTGTAAAAATGTCTCAGTCTGGACAGGATTTTCTTAAGCCATCTTAGAGTCAAGCTGCCATGAGCGTAGGACAAGAGCAGCTTAAATGGAAGTACAGATACACCTTTAGGGTAAGCAGGGAACTGGCATAATTTGTAAGTGATATTCAGGATAGTAATGTTCCAAAAAGATCCTGTTCAGCAGAATAAATGTTCAGTCAAGAAGCAAATGCAGTTCAGTTTAAATAAGTGTAAAGTGATGCATTTGGAGCAAGCAAGCAAACAACCTGACTTCACTTATGCAAAGAAAATGTTGTGGGCTTCTATTGAGCAGCTCAGTAGAGAAGAAGCAAGCATGCGGCAACTATGAAAAAAAATCTGTGCTGGGGAATCACTAAGAAAAAGACTGAAAATAAAATTGCCTTATACAAATCTGTGTATGTCTGGTACAGTGTACAGTTCTGGTCATCACATCTGAAAAAGGATAGAACAGAGATGAAAAAAGTGCATAGGGAAAAAATTAAAATGACCAGGAGACTTGAACATTTTTCTTATGAGAAAAGGCAACAAAGGGAGAAATAATCAAAGTGTATACAATCATGCTTGGAGAAAATGCTCTCTCTCAACATTGTGATGGCCAGTAAGTTTGGATGGCTTTAAAAAGGGATTGGGTAAATTCAGGGAGGACAGGTCAATTGAGGGCTGTTTGTTTTGAGATTCAGTGTAACTTCCAGGTTGGGAGTGGCATGCCTCCAAATACTAGTTGTAGGAGAATAACAGATATCTCTCTATCTCCTGCTTGTGAGGACATCAGAGGCATCTGTGAGAAACAAATCACTGGACTAACATGGAC